AGCTTTGCATAAAAATTCGCCGTGGAAGCAGCTTTTTCATCCAGCACTTTTAGAAGCTTCAACTCCCTCAAGCATAATTCAGACCTAACTACGGCTTCAAAATCCGAACCTCTCTCTTTGAATCATCTGCGCAGGCGAGTAAGAGCATCCCTCATATGCAGTCCTTTATTTTGGACTTGACAGCTCCCATGCTCGAGCCAAAGTGGTAGACGAAAACGTTCCAGGGAGTTGTTGTTGACGGCATCACCTGTGCACATTCAGTCACTGTGGAATCAGTAATGTCTGCATTCCTAAAATGCGCTAATGTTGCACAGTAGAATCTCTGTGCCATACCATTCATTCAGAGCCTCTACAAAAAACTGTGACCATTTACAAGGCGGTCATCAGCTAATCATTCCCCGCTCCGTGGGGAATCCAGCCAGTGCTAGCTCTGGCACAGAAGCAGTTCTAAACCGCATGACCCTGATCTTCGAAACCTGGCAAACGCGGCCACCTCCCCATCCTCGATCTTTGTTGGAGCACGCTCTGGATTCCATCCTTCACTTGCGTCAAATGGGAAGCTTTTTCGATGACACGTTGAATGACGCTTTGAGAGTCTCGGGTCACATTAGATATGTGATGAAGTAGTGCCATATTCTCATAAACGTCGGATACTTTTTCATCCGAAAAGGTGACGGAAGCACCGGATGAAGTTCTTGCCAATGCTGCAAAAAATGAATGGTACTTATAGGGAGAGCATGACCCTGGATATTATTGCTCAGGTTAGATCACATCTCCGCGGTTAGTAATTTGAGTTCCGGAAAAAATGGGCAGAACTTTGCCTTCCCTCAAATAAGCTCAAATACTTCAAGACGTTCAAAAAAAGAACACAGAGGTACGTGTGTTCTAGAGACTGCTTTTGAGAGAAGCATGAGTTTCTGACGGAATCACTTTGTATTGCAGTGAAGTGATTCCGTCAGAAACTCATGTTGGTTTTGTTGTGACACTGGCGCTGGTAGCATTAGACTTGTATGATAATGTTGTATTACTGTCTGATAACCAATGAACTCATGTTTTCATTGACCCGGGGCAGTGAATAACTTGTTGGATTTTTGATCTTTTTCTGAATTGTCGTACTTGTGTCCACTCTGTCATGCAAGCCCTACATTCGAAACAATAAGCTTCTCCAACGTGCTTTAAATATCTCTCGTCTGGCACGAAAACTGCATAGAAACACGATTGAGCAGCATACCTAAACACCAAGCCTACGTTGCCAATTGGCATAGCTAGCATAAAGTAGAAGGAAGTTCAGTAATAGGGATACCTTGATATACGCAAAGCAGTAAACAATGAGGGCAGGAACATGCACACAGCAGCAAAAAGGATGTGCTCTGACCAGGAACAAGGCTAAGGAGGGCCAGAGCTAAGAGATCAAGGGAAGAAGAATAAAGAGAATGATCAGCTCAGCTTGAAAACTAGTGGAGAACGGTACGAGCACTGCAGTGCGAGCATAACACGCAGGACATTTACCCCAAATCCCATAGATAAGAGCGGTCCATAGATAAGAGCGGTTCGTGCTAGAAAATGAAAATTGACGTTTGTATACGTTTTTTTGGCGTTGTGTGCTCATGATTATCGCAATAATAGCCTAAAACTACCTTTATTCTTATGTTTTCTATACTCTTTCTATCCTGTATCACCTGCTATGAAACGTCGTAAATCGTATGCAGCAGCTATTTTTCTGTATGAATTGTTTATTGAGTGGGCGGGGTTTAGGGTTGAGGGGCGGAGCTTCTTCTAAACTTCTTCTCCGATTTTTATTTATCCATCCATCAAGTTAGAGGGGTGACTGCATTCAATTTCAATTTCATTCCAATTCATTTTTCACCGGTAAATTAAACCGCTCTTATCTATGACATTTTAGGGTAACAAATATCTTTAATAGTAAAACTGAGCGCCACTTTATTTGCAGCAGACTTTGCGGCAGGCAGCGTTAAAGTCAAATCGTGTTTTTGCTCATAGTGCCCATATACAACTTTGCGTCACTCTACGAATATTTACCACCAGATCGTGCTGTTGTGTAGCATCATGCTTCCGCTCGAACGGTGATACCGTTCTAGCGGAAGCATCTCATGCCACACAACAGCATAGTTTCCACTGCCTCGTCATCAACGGCCTCTGTTGGCCACGATGGAGCGGAAATCTCAAGCCGTTTCAGAAGTCTCATTACCACGCTTGGTTTCCAATGTAGAAGAAAAACAAGATTAGATTCGGATGAGCTTTGTCATTTTTGTTCTTCCTTTTTCAAGTCAGTCCTCTCAGTAGAATCCCTTGAGACCATTATCGCGGCTGGTCGCAGGCTACTCCTCTCATATGATGGTTCCCGGAGAAAGCGTGTTCAATCCCTAGGCGGTGCATATCTAGTGCGCTTGCCGCTCATTTCCAAGTCGCGAAAGCAGTACAAACTCTGCATCTTATACACTGAAGGGGTTACTCGGCTTATCATAGAACTTCGATTCACTTGCTACTATTTCATGGAGTTTGCAAAAAAGGTATAACGCGGCCACTGTCCAACGAATGTTCGCCTGTTTGTAATGAATTGGAACTTGTAATAACTCTATATTCTCTGTTGTATTCAAAAGAGACCGTGGTGTCATTGGAAAACGTGACAGGTCCTCTCCAATTACCTTCAGAGCTATTAGGTTGTCCGGAAAGTTCTCAGCGTTTTGGGTGTTTCACTTCAAACGATCGTCAACCTTTTAATACTCATCGGATTTAATCGAAGTAGGCACCATTCGAATCAGCACATTTTTGCCAATGTGACAGCTGTCGAGAAATCCCATCAGAGTAGAAAACTGGGTGGTCGAAAGTTCACTAAATCCACGAAGGCTTTTTTGCCTGGTCCTGATTGATGAAGTATTTTCCAGCAATGGAGTTCTGAAAATGTTAGAAAAGGTGATAGTCGATTGGCGAATGGTCTGAAGAATATGGCGGTTGAGGTGGAACTTCAACCCCCAATTCGTTCAATTTATGGATAGTGATTTGTGAAACATGTGGGCGGGCGTTGTCATGCAAAGAAATCGGACCCTTTCTTTTGATAAGTGTTGGCTGCACAAAATCTGACAAAATTTTACAATTCGTCGATTTCTTCACAGTAGGGTTCTGCTGTGATGGTCTGGCCTGGTGATAAAAAGTTATAGTGGATCACACCAGCCGATGACCACCAAGCCGTGACCAGAATGTTTTTTTCGTGAAGGTTAAAATTACCTCGGTGGTTCGTCGAAATCCAAACACTGTCCGGAAGGTCTCCTGTTATCATACATGATCCATTTTTCATTACAGGTGACAATACGGTCCAAAAACAGGTCGTTTCTGCTGCGCAAAAGCAATGCAGAAGGAACCTCGAGACGTGCCGATTCCTGCCGGTCACTCCGATTGTGGGGCACCCAATTGTCGAGTTTTTTTTCTCCTTCCCAATGCGTTCCAGACCATCTGCAACAGTGGACTTGCCAAGGCCTAGCTCTTCTGCTATCTCTCGAGCTGTCTGGGATGGATCAGCCTCCAAAATCCCCCTAAAATCCTCGTCAGATATTGCTTTAGGTCGACCGCGATGAGGTTCATTTTCGAGGCTGAAATCTCCAGAACGAAATTTGTTGAGCCATTGCCGCACAGTGATTTCTCTAGCACTACTGAGTCCTCACACCTGGTTAATTTGTTGAGCTGTTTCGATTGCGGATTGCCCCAATTTATAGTCGAAGAAAAAAAATCAAAAAAATCGTCCGAAGTGCTCTTTTCACATGCTTGAAAAATAAGGGGATTTCAAGCAACGGTGAAACGGCAATTATACCGTCAGACAGCGCAAGAAATTTTCTACAGGATGTGCTACTGAGAAATAAGGCAGAATGAATTTTTAATCTGCAGTGAATGTACAAAAAAATAGGTGCACAAAACGCAGAGAACTTTCCGGACAACCTAATAATAGGCGAGCTGCAGGCCGCAGGGTACCTTGACTGATGCGGGTTCTATTCTAGCTGCTTTCATACTGACATTCATATAGTAATCACTGCTCTATTACCATGGAACTGTACAATCACGAGGAACGGTATTGCGATGCCGCTATTCCAAGATGGATTCGAACGCATGCGGCTCGAGTCGCTGACTTTTCATTTTATGAAACCACTTCCTTCCATTCCTGAGCCACTGAAAACCTTCTTCCGCTAAAGTTACCTGGGTTTGCCGACTTCTGTTTCAGTATTGTTCAATGTTTATGATACTCCCGAATTTCTGGGTCCTGGGGCTCTCTATTGATAGAGATTGAACTTGTTAATTCCTAGCAACTGACGCTGCCATATTTTTCTGCAACCAAGATGGATTGGACTAATGAAGATTTGCTCGCATTTGACATTTTTCTTCCCTCTCTTTTCTCTTCACTTCAGCAGCTCGTTCTTTCAGATGTTTGAAGGAACCATTTAGAAATTGTCAGTCGAGAGCGAGCCTCTATCACCATTGGTCTGCGACTTGGGAAAAGAAAGATTTGTCAGAAGTGCTGCATGCATGAAGATTCTTTGAATTATCTATTTGGACAGAGATTGGCAGTTAGGCAGAAGTTTATGAACTGAAAACCAGAGTAAAAATAAGTTTCAGCTGCTGAGTCTGATGAGCGTACTGTGTCCTTCTGACACTTGTTTTCGATGAACCGAACTACATATTTCCTTCTAGTCGACATTGTTATCTTGTTATTTCAGACAACGACAATCCTTTGCAGCGTTTTATTTCTCGTAGTGTTTAGAAGGTATGCATTCAAAGATGGGCTTGCGAGTATGTGACTAGATGACAAACTTTAAAAATTAGAATAACATGTTCAAGTGTATAATTAACCCCTTAATCAGAGTGACGAAGAAGAAAAAGTACTCTTGTTCACGTCTGCTCGTCTTTCTAGCAGTTGCAGATCTCCTGAGCGCTGTAACCTGTGAGTTTAGAGGCTTGTATAGACGCTTACGAGTTGTAAGTTTAAGGCGTGATTGAGTTTCAAGCGTTTTGCAGCCATTCCATACTCTATCTACCTAGTGACAAACTGGAATCCTACGTTTATTGATCTGAATCCATACTATATTGCAATTCTCGGCGCACCTGCTATATTCTTCTCAAAAGTGCATTTGGTTCTGACTATTTCCGCTGCTTTTGAGCGAACGTTGGTAAGAACTAAACATATTTAAGGGCAGCTCGGGCAGTAGGCGTTTTAAAAACTTTCGTCAGCAAACAATGTTATTTTGTAATGATCTGTGAATCCCTGTGTAGCTCCCATTTTCAATTCACAAAGCAGGTTGGAGGCGATAGGTGAAAGCGGGCTTCCAACGCGATCACACCTAACGGTTAATTGGTTCGTATTTTTCCCCAAGTTTTGATAGAGGACGCATTGTGCTTGTGGTAAGTACTCACCTAGGAGTCTTACAAACAGCTCAGCTCTTTTTGGAAGTGGACCACGCCAGCTAAACTTGTTTTCTCCATCAGGAAACGCCACTGTTCAGCCTAGCCGCCCAAGTAAAATGTGGACTGAGCATTCCTGCGGTAAACAGGCTATAGTCTCGACATCATACCGATGACAAACAGCTGAACAGCAGTCCCGTAAATGTTTATTTCAACCATTCTCAAAATGTGGGGTAGCCGAGGCAGAAAATCCTCGAGACTGGAAGACGAGGTGATGGTATAGCGCACCGTGACTTCCTTCCCATTTCGGCCCCAATGGACTTCGAGACCGATCTTAAACGAAGAAGAGGCACGTGTAATTGGTTTTTTTACTGATTAACACTGACGAAATGTTCCCTCAGAGTGGCCTAATAATTATAATAAAGAAGGGAAACTGGAAAAATAGTTGCAAAAAATTACGGTAAAAGACCCTGCGACGAAAATTCTCATAAGAAGATTATAATACAAAGGAGCATTCAGCAATTTCAGGACACTATAATGCTCATATAAATGAGCAGAAAATGTGTCGGAGAAGCACTACAATTACAGGCATCTTTTCTTCCGATGTACTACCGCAGACTGTCTTTATCTACGTATGCGATTATTACGTTGCTCGTCAGCCTCATTTTGGCAGCGTTTGATCCTTTCGTTGTATTCACTCTCATAACGTTTGAACGGAAGCCAGGCTGTGCTGCACTTGGCTGCTTTATCGAACGCAGCAACTCATTAGCAGCATATTACTGGGAAACAAACACATTGGTCAGCGGAGCTCGGTCTTTAGCCCTATTCAAAGTGTACATGATCATTCCGAATTTAGATATTCAATCTTATAGCAGGCTTTCTAACAGTTTTGTTCATTGTCAAGCTAAAATGCTCTCAGCGACGGATATCTCGGACTCTTGGAGCACATCAAGGAGGAGAGCTGAACAATTCCGTGCAGGTATATCCAACAAGACAGGCGTACGAAGGATTTCCGTTGTTGATAGTTAGAAATATTTAGGCTAATCGCATATGTGCTGGGATTTTACTAACGTCACTTGCCTTCGTTACATCTCCATGTGTTATAATGAATATCGTCAACATCTGGGGCTTTTCAATCTACAGTTATGTCGGTCCTTTCTTCTTTGCGTTCCTGCTCTGTAATGGTGAATACTGGAGTGAATACTGGATTACAAAAACGTAGAGACGGCAACAACTTATTGCTATTTCCAGGGACTTTCACTAACGTTGTGCATCTCATGTTGAATCGAAGCATGCGAAAACAAGCGAAGACGTTCTTCACGGTCGGACGCTTTGCTGCGATGGAGTCAGTAGCTCCCAAAGAACGATTCACTGCAGCGGGGTCGAGGACTTCAATGCCTCATATTTCTTAGTTTTGGTGTTCAGCCCCAATACACTGTAAGAGCTTTATTCGCTCCACCCTTTGACGTTAACCGACAAAAGAAGTCTTCCAGATAAGTTAAACGGCATCTTTTTTGGCAAAACTTCTTAATCTTGAGATTAACCACATTCGAAGCAGAGCAGCCTTGAACTACAAACGTTATCATTCGCGAAACTTCAGTGTAGGACCTCCCTATGTTTATTGAATCCACACACGAGATATCTGATATCCCAAGAAGATGATCTCGATGCCCGCGTTACATCTTTTGCTTGCTATTTTCGAGGAATCATGAAGCCCTATAGCAGTTCAAAAATCCTTAGTTTCCGATGCGTTAAATTTTTTTCTCCTCTACAGCCAGGAACTGTATCTGGCTGCAATCGCGATCAAAGCAACATTCATTCCAGTACTCTGAGCCTCACCCGGGCGAACTGACCAGAGAGCCAATTCTATGAGGTTGAGCGCTGGAAGACATTGGTTCAAAAATCCATTGTGCTGAGAGGGTAGGCCCGGTAGCGTAACGGATCCGGCCCGGTAAGCAGTAGATGCGGGTTCAGTCACGTCCGAGGTCTAAATTTGCCTGTATTTCAGCACTCTTGTGATAATTCTGTGAGGGTTCGCATCTGCGTTAGGGTAGATGTTGAGGCACGAGTGGGAAGCTGGAAACGCCGAAAGCTTGAGGAGACTCACCACCGGAAGTGATGAACTGACTGTCACGCTTCGAGAAGAATGGAAATGGCATAGGCCCTCAAACCAGAAGTAAATAGCGCGAAAAGTGAGGACCATTGTTACGTCGTTCACGGCATGTAGGAAGTGAACAACGTGACAGTGGTCCTCACTTTTCGCACTATTTACTTCTGGTTCGAGGGCCTATATCATTTCGATTCTTCGCGAAGCGTGACCGTCAGTTCACTTCCGGTGGTGAGCTTCCTCAAGCTTTCGGCGTTTCCAGCTTCCCAGTAGTGTCTCAACATCTAGCCTAACGCAGATGCGAACCCTCACAGGACTGTTGTCTTTACTGGGCTCCTTTTGGTATCTTGTTGGTTCTAAAATGAATAAATATGTACAATTATAAAAAAACTTTAGCAGGCAGCGATGCATAAAAATGAAGGGGCTGGAAAAACGATCCAAAGAAGTAACACGGAAAAGTCGAATAAAAACCATGAATTTACCAGTTCTGAATGAATACGAACTAATCGATTAATGGGAAAAGTTTTTTGACAACAATCAAATATGTGAAACCTTTTTATAAACAAAGCGGATACCGCAGCATTTATGGTGACCTTCTGCAGCATAGTCGTAGCTATCAATAAATGCGTGCATATGTACATATATTATATACTGTAAGAGGAACTGCACGAAGGGATTTGTAAATGCAGCTGAGTGGCAACATCATTGAGCCTTTGCTTTTTTACTCACCGTCAGACTAGAAGCACTCTGATATTGTACATGTGGACACCGATGAAGTTTGTTGACGCGATGGCAGTGGGTAAGAATTCTAGCTCCACAATGGCGCGGAATCACCAGTACAACAAAGACCAGACCCTCAACAAGCAAACTTCAGTTCGGTTGTGCACTGACGAACCAGTGCCAAGTGATACCGGACTCAGACGAAACTGCCGTAGTGACTGTTTATGGTAATCAGCCCCAATGATAGGCCGACGCACTTTGAGAAGAAGCACACGAGATGGTCGAAATGCCTCACGACACCGCCTGTCTTCCGATTGCTCCACTACTGTACTCTCCAAACAATACGCCGGGGTAGTTCGGCGACAGGAGGGGGGGGGGAACTTTACACTTCAAGTTCCAACTACTCTTATCTTGAAACTTCGGCATTGTTCAATTTGTTGTGATCTTCTGTTATTGACACGAGGATTTATTTGGAATATTTATTCGGCCAACGTTTCGACCTTTTCAGAGGCCTTGTATTCCACCATTATCTGCAACCAGTTAGTATGTTAGGCAACGTTCATACTTCGGACAGCAGAGGCGTTCGCGGCGACCTCGGGGCCGCCGCGATCGTCGGTATTTGGCAGAGCGCGCTCCAACGCTATTATGGACCGCTCGCTTGATAAACAAGGAAACCCAACTTGTGAGACCTTCTTTTCACTTAATAACTGATAACTTACGACCTTCTATGCATAAGCGAATCTGGAATATGAGGTAAGGAGGTTATACTTCCTTTTAGGTCGGGATGAGGCCAGCTCCATTTCCTGACTGAGATTCTTTTTGCTTCTTTTGTTTTTATTGTCTCGATTTATATAAGCGCCTTAAAAGTTCCTATCGTCTGAACTGCTCCATCTTCCAAAAAGTTTATAGTTTACAAGTCGAGTGAACAATACAAAAAAAAGAAACAGAAAGAATTCACCTAGGAAACAAAACACTGATCATTTTACGTAACATCAACAGGAAAAAACTTTATGACCTCATGTATAAGCTCGACGAATGAAAAAAGAAACAATAAAAACCTGGCGGAATTGCAGTTAGAGGAAAAAAGCATGAGATTGAGTCGCTTCTCCCTAAAAGCCTTCGGAGCGGTCCAAGTAATAGCGTTGCGGCGCGCTCTGCCTTGCACTGACCATCGCAGCGGTCGCTGCTGCTGCCGCGAAGTGTGAACGCTGCCTTAGTAAGCGAGTCAAAGTATGTTAGATATCACAAGAGATTCACTTACTAACCTAGTAAGCAACTGGTTGCAGATAGTGGTGGCATATAAGGTCTCTGAAAACGGCGAAAAGGTCAAAACGTTGGTCGAATAAATATTCCACCTAAGAACCCCATGACATTAAGAGAAGATCACAATACTTCATAATTTCTCTGCTTCACTGGTGGTACAGTGTCTCACTCTGGTGGAACCCAGGGCACAGCGTTCGATGGGGATTCCCTATGGGGGGGGCCGTATTTGGCCGACAGGAGAGGGAGGGGGTTGTAATGAGTGCGGTAGCCAGTAACGAGCAGCGCAAAGGTGTCAGTGTGCTGAGCCCTGTACAGCGAAGCTTCCTTTGTAGAGGATGCGGATATGTAAAAAAAATAGTACAGAACTTCCAATCATCAAACTAATCTGAAATAACTGGAAATAAAAAGTCGACATCATCTCGTAAGTGATTAAACACTACAACTCATACTCTGGTTCGCTGCGGATGATGGGACGTGTCCGCGAACGCGCTTGGCGCTGAGCCAACCTGTTTTTTTTCGACAAACGACTACCATATCGTTCGTATCAGACGTTCTCCAGCAGTGGGTCTCCTCTATCGGAATCAGCAATTGGCGGAGCACGAATCTGGCGGGGACACGCTCCATCATACGCAACGGAAAAAACGGTAAACAAGTGCACAGGTTCGCCATGACCTCCCTGAATCCTATAGACACATTTGCTCCGCGGACAGACATTACGCACAAGTTGCACCATCCCATCACTTCTGCGCGGACCTCAGTGAGCGGCGCATCCAAAGTCAGCGTGATCGGCGCTAAACGAACCATATTCTGCTCCTGCTCCACCGCCAGGATACGTTTTCATGGCGTCCTGGTTATTCGAACACGCTCACTTGAAGCGGCTACACAGGAAACGGGTTTCGCGCAGCGGGAGTGTTCCCCAAGGAATCCCCATCGCTATATCTCATGAATCCCGAGGACTTCAGAAGCAGTTCAATAGTTTTTAGAACGAGCAAGTCTTCATACACTCGAATCCGTTCTCAGATTTGTGAAATGTTGAGTTATCAAAAAAAATATATTGATTCAAACCTGTTCCTGAAAAACCCGCATCGAATCCCCAAGGCAATTTCCTCTGTGCTTTTTGCTACGGGGGTGTAATGAGTGCGGTAGCCAGTAAGAGCAGCGCAAAGGTGTCAGTGTGCTGAGCCCTGTACAGCGAAGCTTCCTTTGTAGAGGACGCGGATATGTAAAAAAAATAGTACAAGAACTTCCAATCATCAAACTAATCTGAAATAACTGGAAATAAAAGTCGACATCATCTCGTAAGTGATTAAACACTACAACTCATACTCTGGTTCGCTGCGGATGATGGGACGTGTCCGCGAACGCGCTTGGCGCTGAGCCAACCTGTTTTTTTTTCGACAAACGACTACCATATCGTTCGTATCAGACGTTCTCCAGCAGTGGGTCTCCTCTATCGGAATCAGCAATTGGCGGAGCACGAATCTGGCGGGGACACGCTCCATCATTACGCAACGGAAAAAAACGGTAAACAGTGCACAGGTTCGCCATGGACCTCCCTGAATCCTATAGACACATTTGCTCGCGGGCAGACATTACGCACAAGTTGCACCATCCCATCACTTCTGCGCGGACCTCAGTGAGCGGCGCATCCAAAGTCAGCGTGATCGGCGCTAAACGAACCATATTCTGCTCCTGCTCCACCGCAGGATACGTTTTTCATGCGTTCCTGGTTATTCGAACACGCTCACTTGAAGCGGTACACAGGAAACGGGTTTTCGCGCGCAGCTGGAGTGTTCCCAAGGGATCCCCATCGCTATATCTCATGAATCCCGAGGACTTCAGAAGCAGTTCAATAGGTTTTTAGAACGAGCAAGTCTTCATACACTCGAATCCGTTCTCAGATTTGTGAAATGTTGAGTTACAAAAAAAATATATTGATTCAAACCTGTTCCTGAAAAATCCCATCGAATCCCCAAGGCAATTTCTCTGTGCTTTTTGGCGAATATCATGAATATTTTAGTACTTTTAGGAAGATAAAAAAAATAAACCTTCCTCTTACGCGAACACGCTTTTCCTCTTCCCCATAGGTCCGCTTTTGAGGAAGTTATGGTCCTTCAAAGACACCCTACTTGCCGAAAATTTGTTTCCCACGGCTGGTCCTGCCCAGAATTCCATCTCCCGGTCCCTCGGCGCCGATTCAAACGGGTGCGCCGCGGGAAACTTATTCAAAGAGGTTACCTCGGCTTCGTTTAGCACAGATGTTATTTATGAGGGCGGAAGAACACTGAGCCTGACCGAAAAAAGCGAACCTTCATGGTTTAA